ATAATTTAAACGTGGTGCAACGATTGAAACGGGGGGGGGGGGGGTTTCGGGAACGGGGGGGGGGGGGGTTTCGCGAAACGGGGCGGGCGCGCCCGGTTTGTGCAACGTAGGGAGTAGCCTGACATAGACCCTCTCAGCAATACTGAGGCTCGCGATCAAGGGGTCGTTGTCATAACAGGTACCAGGGGCGGATCCAGGAATGTCTAAAGAGGTGGTCACAAGTCATTATATTTCTGTTGTACTTGTAGTGGCTCGGCAAGCGAGCGCAGACAAAATTTTGTAAATAGAAGGCTTCTGAGGATAATTCTACTGCATACATAAGGGTTATTTTTGCAGGATTTAATCACTTTATATCAAGTCGTTTTCAAAATAGATACTCTGTATGGACACTAGGCCTATACACCTTTTGAATATATTGTAAGCAAGTTGGAAGTTTTACTGAAACCAAGAAAAACTTGTTCTTTAAATGTGAAAGTAGACCATATTTGTAGAACTAGCTGGTGCCCAAACAAACCAGGACTGTGCCAGAAAAATTAATATCTGCACATCATTCACACTTTCACAACAACCACATAATATATTATATTCGATATGGGGGGTTCACATTTAGCGGTGACCCCCCCTTTTTGGTCAGAGGGAGGTCACATGACCCCCATGACCCCCCCTTGGATCCGCCACTGACAGGTACTACAGATATGTACCCAAGGTACATATACATGTATACACAAAGTGTACCAGACTTGTACTACAGAAGTGTACCCTAACCCTAACCCGGCCTAACCCTAACCCTAAACATACCTCATATAAAAATATAAACATAATACTAAACAACCTAAAACTGTAGTACCTGTTACGACAACGACCCTTCGTGCACCTGAGGCGATGTGCACCTGAGGCGACCCCACCCTGAGGCATGTGTCATTCATTTTCACCCTACATCCCGGATTATTAATAATAACGAGCCTGAGGGACTATCCTAGGTTTAGGACATCCATGCATGAATAATTATGATAATGGGATGATAGGGTTAGGAATGCCTAATGCCAGTAATGGTTCCGAATGGTTCCGAGAAAATCAGTGAGTTATATAACATATGGTAACCGTAAATATTGTTCACCATGTGACATAACTCACTAATTTCATACTGTACATGATCATCACAACGCAAATTGCATGTCACATATAGCGTCTTGATGTGCACTAGTTCTTACTAGTATTTATAGCTGCTCTGCATGTACCTTTAGCGTCTGGAACTGGACGACTCGAAGCGATCTCAATGGCAACATAGCGCGTCTGATAAAAACGGTAAGTAGGCAGACCTAGATACTGGCTCGTTCTACACAACAATAAGTATAACAGGATTAGTTTAGACGTAATTCTAAAAACTAAATAACAGATTTTACATAATTTAGCTACAGCGATGTCTAGTAGTAAGAAATACAGTCTACAGAGATTGGTAACTTGGTAGCATAGATTAATCCCCAAGTGATACACATACACACTTACACGACTGCGGACGTGCGGGTCAATGGCGCGCCGCGCTCGTAGTCGTAGCTCAGCGGCACATTTTCATCGGTAAAATCTTTCCGCGTCAGAAATTTTTGTGACATGGTAAATAGACTGGTACCGTGTGTTTGTAACTGGCGTTGCTGCCTACTCTTACATATGTGGCAATGATGGATATTTTACGACAGGTGTAGACTGGTGTGCTTGTGCACGGTGTCTTGAACACAGAACAGCACATTTCCCGTTATCTCTGATTGCATCTCTAGACTCTACGTTATCGAAGCGTGTCTAGTACTGTCTAGGTACATTCTCAGTGACGAGACATAATGTCTGACAATATTGTGAAACTGAAAGCACTAGGAATTGGAGGTATGTATTATTGCAGACTCTAAAAAGTAGAAGTGTTAATTTTATGGAAATGCATGGCCATGAAATTCAGGTTCAGTCATCAACTAACATCATCCTATCCAATCACCGTACTGGACATCATCTCTATCCTTGAACCTCGGAAGGCTCCCTGGTAACTATCTGATATGGTTAGGGTTAGGGAGTAGGCGTAGGCGACTCCCTAGACTCTTTAGTGGAGTAGGCGAGGTACGGTCCGGCATATTAGATGGTACGTACCAGGGTATACGTTCCGATATATCGAACTGTACAGCGTACCCAGGGTACCCTCCGATAGTACCCTGGGGGACATAGGCCCTCTCAGCCTCACTATAACCTTTAACTGGCACGACTAACCGACGAGCTGGCACCAATCACTGAATCAGAGTGCGCCCTTAAGCCTATAGGACACACTAGCGATTCTGTACGCTGCCCGGCAGCATATATGTTCGCTCACGATTTTAGAACGCCGTACGAGTTGCGCGTACAGCTGGACACACTGTCCGGTGTCAGACCACTCTAACGGCTTTCCTAGCTTTCGTTGCTACAATTGATTGGCTGCTAAAAACAATCGCGTTCGAACACGATTGTTCATTGTTGGGCGCGCTGGTGCAAGCGCATGCAAGCGCATGCGCTGTACGCAAGCGATGAAAAACCGGGCGGAAATATTCAACATGTTGAATGCGAGCGATCAGCCGGGTGTATGGGATCGCGTGCGAAATACGCTGCCGTGAGACCGGACACACCGCGTGGACCCGGCACTGTATTTATCGATCGCAAGCGGCCAGCGTAGAAAATCGCACAGTGTGTCCTAGGCTTTAGAATAGAAGTGCAGCTGGTGCCACCTCTTAGCTGGCAACCTGGTGCAATCTTTGTTATGGGCGCTACATGCAAAGAGGCGACATTTTTTTTCGTTGTTTGAGCTCTGCCCCCAAGATAAGTAATTGTTCAGTGGTGGATCCAGGATTCCAAGGAGGGGGGTGGAAAACAGGCAGGGGGGTATGGGGTCCATCCCCAGAAAATTGTGAAAATGTAGATCACAGGAGATGGTATTTGAGCCACTTTTGAGTACATGTACAGCCTTCATTCTGACTATAACAATTCTCTTTTTAATAGAACAAAAATTAATTTTTTTAAAACTTTTTGATCAACAGGGGGCCCATATGCCCTTTGCCCCCCCCCCTAACTACGCCACTGACGGCGTGTGGATATACTACGTGTAATTCATCTATAGCCAGCAGGTGGTGCAACATGGCAGTTTTTAAGTGCTGTCGGTGACACTATACCCTAGCTCTTCCTTTCCTCCCATCGCTCGAACTTTCTCCACATTTTTCTCCAGACATCACTTCCTTCCGATTTCTCTTCCCTGCTGATCCCGTTTACCTTTCTCAATTCTCCTCATGTACCATCACACCACTTCACCGTGACCAGGTCCTTTCCATATCTGCTATAGGTACCTGTGAAGCGTGCCCGAAGGCCTATAATAAGGAGGCAATGCTCAACCACGTTATGTGTTATAGGTAGCCATTTTATTACTGCCCATATGTTGTTATGTGACGTCATCAACGATGTACATATATGGTACATGAATCTCATATCGTAACAGTACCCTCCTCCTTTTCCACACACACTGGCTCAACCTGCTTTAGAACCCTCATACACAGTGTAACACACATCATCATATATCTCTGCAATGTAACTCTACCCTTACCCTAAACCTATCATGATGGGGAGGGGGGGTTGAAGTAACCATCTGCATCCTAAGTTATAATCTTCAGCTAACTTCTTCCACATACACCGCCCCCTCCCCCCCCCCATCTATCATCTTCATCCACCATTCTGGTCCTTTTTCTTCTTAATAATATTCCTCTCTTCCACTTAGTTTACTTTCTCCTCGGCTGTATCCCCACACTGATTCCCCTTTCCCCATGGCTGCTTTTCCTTATTTATATGCCCTAGTCAGAATATATGTATTGGTATAGTATTATCATTGACTTTTTATGCCTTTGTCTCCAATAATAAACCATATAGTCTGCCCGCTGTAGCACAACACCTGCTAATTAATCAAGGATATGCATGAACATCTATATAATAATGAGGTTCACATTTGTTAATGGTATAAGTAGAAAAGTTGGTTGATAATATCAGGAGTGAATAATAATAGATTATTATTAATAGAACTATAATGGAAAATATGATAATGATAAATTATTTGATGCTATAGTCATCTGTACTAACATTATCAATATAAATGTTTGACTGATGATTCGATCACTAATGACTTCGTGATTGCTGTTATGTATGTCAGAGGCAGAGTCAGCATGGATGAGAGAAAGCTTTTATTCGGATCCCAAGAACAGGTTGGCACAGAATGCCTGTGTAAAACAAGACTTCCTAGAGGTGTGCTTGGACCGCACCGTGACAGAGAAAATGACCCATAGATTTAACACAAAGGTAGTCGTCAGTTTGCTTTGCTTCCTCACTTGATTTTCAATCTGACATCCTATTTCTAACTTTTCTAGAATCAAAAAGGTTAACGTAAAGCATGCAAAGTTACACGTGGAATGTTTGTGTAGATTTTCTCTAACACTGGACGATGTGGCAGCAAAACTGATATGAAATGCCGTAGAATTTTGTGATATTTTTTAGATAGACCCAGAAGGGAAGCCGATGACCAACCAAAAGAACAGCGGCCGTTGCTGGATCTTTGCTTTGCTCAACATCATCCGCACACCGTTCATGAAAAAGTTTAACTTAGAGGAATTTGAATTTAGCCAGTCATATTTGTTCTTTTGTGACAAGGTAATTACATACTTTTAAAGCCTCGTAGTGCACAGTAATGTCGTACATTCTTACTGTTATTGTATGTAGTATACCAGTATTCCTTTCTGTTTGTTCTAAGATATGAGTTGTTTGTTGCTAGTAAAGTACATATTCATCAGTGCATACACTTGCATAAATGACAGTTTGCACGTATTCCCTAAGTAACAAAGGTCATAGCCAAAATATACTGTATATAGGTAAATATATTTGTAAGCAGGCATTTATATTTAAGAGTAGGACATAAATCATTCATTCTCTCGCGTAGGAGCTATGGCAAGATTTTAAGTGATGTGTTTGCATACAGTGACAAAACATACAGTTTACATGTGAATACTCGAGCATAAAGCTTCTATATCAGACTCGGCAGCATAGGATTGTGTAAGGAAGTCAAATGAAACCCAACACATTATTTCCTACGTGTGTATTAACATGGCTGCTATAAACAAGATACTTTCTCATTTATATGATTGACAATTAAACATTACTTTAACATTTAATTAAATCGTAAAAATTTTGTAATTAAATTTAATCACAGACAATTAAGAATTTAACGTTGCTTTGCTCGCATGCAGATCGAAAGAGCTAATTACTACCTGGACGCATGGGTGGAGATGGCAAAGAAAGGAGAGGCGGTCGACGGGCGACTGATGCACCACCTACTACAGAACCCAAGTGATGATGGCGGCCAGTGGGACATGCTCGTAAATCTCGTGAACAAATACGGTCTGATGCCACGGCAGTGCTTCCCCGAAACGTTTGCCTGCCAGCAGACGTTCAAGATGAAACGCATCGTGAACAACCTGGTGAGGTCATAGCTATAGATCAATCGAAGCGTAGTATGCGTGCATGTTAGAGATTGGCCGTGCAAGGATGAATGGTTTTCCCACACTGTTAGTGGAGGGAGTTGGATGTGCAGATGCTACGTGCGGCACCCAAACCTTGCTTTGCGACAGAGTTTTATGTCGCGCAGTGTGCGCTCGGTTATCTTTTTGGTAATGCACTGTCGAACGTGTTTCATGCATTGTCGCAGCTTCGCAAGGACTGCTACATTCTTCGGAAAATGGTGCAAGACGGGAAGACTGATGAAGAGATTCACACAAAGAAGTCAGCTATGTTGGCCAAGGTACACCATTACCTAAATACTATATCAAAACTCTCACTAGCTTGCCACATGGAAATGGAAAGGAACAATAATGTATTAGACATTCTTTTGCTCAATCCTCAACCAAGGCCAGTTCTTGCAAGCATAATGATGGTACTGTCTATACATGGTCATATAACCCTTGTTTTAATATGCTATTCAGATGCAATCGACTCTAGTCCATGGTCTAGAGTCTACACTCTAGAGCATGTTTGACCATTAAATGTCATGTTGTTATGGGTGGGTTGTCTGTGTAAAACAACTCTATTGTCACACGTTCAGTTCAGAATGTTACGAATTTTTCAGATTTACACAGTGTGTGGTATATGCATTGGAGTGCCACCAGAGAACGTGGTGTGGGAATACTATGACAAGGATAAGCAATATCACGCCATTGGTCCAATAACTCCGCTAGAATTCTACAGGCAACACGTGCAGGATATCTACAATATCGATGACAAGGTTAGAATGCAGGCAGATACAGTGCTTTGGGGTTGTTTAAAAAGACATGCTACGTGCAGTATGTATGCGCCATAAGATTTCACCTTCAACACGGTTTGTCATTTTTTTGAGAAACGTTGCTCCCTCTACAGGTGTGTATCGTTAATGATCCACGTCCGACCAACCCGTATAACAAGATGTACACAGTTGACTACTTGAACAACATGGCTGGCAGCAACATCGTGCTCTACAACAACCAGCCAATTGAAGTTCTGCGAAAACTTGCCATGGAGTCTATCAAAAGCAATGAGGTACGTGCAGAAACGGCTAGTAGTCTCATTTGCTCAAAGTCATTCTATTTAAGTACTTTTTTACGAGTGTTATAGATGTGACTGACACACATTGGATTATGTTTCCATGCCTGGAAGGTGTGCATTCATTGGTCAGCACTATACAAGGGTGAACTGAAGTGCAGGTAGTACTGCAAAGGTTTAGGTTCTGTTTCCAACCCTAGCCATTACAAATCTTTATCGTTGCATTGCAGGCCGTATGGTTTGGATGTGATGTAGGCAAGCACTTCTGCCGCAGCTCTGGCCTTCTCGATACAAATGCGTAAGTTACATGGGTCGGAAGCATAAAAAAGACAAGAATAGGGCTTCCAAATGAACTACCCTTCCATTCGAGGTCGACAGTTTGGGCTTTAATTTGTAATTGTAGGCACCCGACTGACATTCTTAAATACCGGATGGCAATACGTTATGTGACATGCTGCAGTTGCTGTTTTTGATTGCATGCTTGTATTTCTTGTCGCAGCCAGAATATCATCAGGAGTGAATAATAATAGATTATAATAGATAACCTATAATAATTAATAATCTATTATAATATAACTATATATAAGTAGTATATATATAATATAAAGTATAGTATTGTATATATATACTATATTATATATAGTGTAATATAATAGTATATAATATAATTAAGTATCGTACATAATTATAATAATAGATAATCTATAATAATTAATAATTATAGTAAGTCTATTATTATTCACTCCTGATATCATATGTTTCAGTCATGACTTCAAGTTGCTGTTTGGTGCTGATCCACTACTGCTTAGTAAAGCCGACCGGCTCATCTATGGCGAGATGTTCATGACTCATGCAATGACCTTCACTGGCGTTAATTTGGAGGTACTGGACCTTTCTTACAAATGCATGCGACGTGTCGCCGTAAATTGATGTGCGTGCAGGTGGTGAGGCAATTGTTCGGATGTAATTGTGTGCCAAATCTTCTCCTACTGCTGGCCACAACTTCTTTTTCAGTCTTTGCCTTATTAACCATTTCGTTTGCTCTCGTGAATTTTTCTGGCTACCCCGTCTTCATCCCTTATTCTCTTAGTGGTTCAGGGACTCTTGCTGAGTGGTTTCTGTGTGATTCCAGGGAGAAAAGACACTGAAGTGGAGATGAGAAAATTCCTGGGCGATGACATTGCGAGAAAAGGTATGTACGTAGCCATGCATGTTTGTTAATGTATCCACCTTTATACCTTGACCTGCAATAACGACTTGCAACTACGACTTGCTGGCCACTGCTACAGACATCCTGAGCTACCTACCAACAAAGTCATTCTATGGCAGCCTACTCACGTCACCTTAAAGCGCGTAGACCCATCAAATCTTTTGTTAAAAGCTTGCTGTCAATGACACAACTAGGGAGCTGGCCAGTCATGAGCGACCGTGAAGTATGGAGTGATATCTGCTGTTTCCCGACTGAAGGAAGCATCATGCCCACCTTGATCGACGTAGTAGTAGTAGTGCAAAGAAGCATAGTTCACTGCCCATCAGGGTTACATTGTTTAAATGAAAATAGGTGACAAGTTAATTTTCAGCTTAGTTGTTGTCACTCGGGGATGGTAGCGAGTGGTAAACGTGATTGAAACCATTTTGTGTTTTTTATATAGGCGGTCACACACGATAGTAGACATGGAATAAGAGCTAATAGTAGTAATATAGAAGTTGTAATATGGGGTTAATGTAAATGTACTATATACTACAAACGTTTCTCGTAATTCCACACACAAAAAATCGATTCATGTATCTGTTGAGCTAAACCGTGTGAAACATAACTTACACGAACTTACAGAAATTAACTAACAGAACAATTTAACATTGTCTTTGCTTTGCGTTGTGCAGGCTACGCTCATCATGTCCGATGATGGTTTCTCCGACTTTGTACAACGAGGTCGTCGTTGATAAGAAGTTTGTTCCTACGGAGATACTAAGAGTGGAACAAAGAGAAACTGTGGTGTTACCGGCGTGGGACCCCATGGGCCGCCGTCGCTCGTAGCATCAATGCGCACTGCAGCTTGCCTCGATTGGGCGCAGCCAGAGAAGGCAGCCTTATGAAAATGTGCTCGAATGCTCATCTCACGGTTCCGTTTCCATACAAAGATTTTGGCGCGCTTGTGGGCACCACCGTACGTTGTGAATCAGTATCACGCTTCATCATAATTGCGAGCTGAAGGCTCGATCAAACCTAACTGAACCCGACTCCTTGTAAAAACCTAAATCTATGACAGTATGATGTAAGTGTCTTTTCGTTTAATAAATGTTTCTCTGATCCATATGTAACCTGAATGAAATGAAAATTAATTTATGTCCGACAGTATGGGTCTTGAGTTCTTTATCTGATATGCTTGTTTGATAATAAAGTGGTTCGCATCGGCTAATAATGCAACACAAGTTACCTGTCATTTTTGTTAGTAACATCAATTTTTATTTTTTATTGTATTGCTACAATAGTTAGTAGTAACGTCATATTTAATATGTTCACAATTTTAGTCATAATGTTAGTTTATTCTAACTAACCGTACAAAACAGTTTTACATCAGCAATTTCTCAACTAATCATCGCACCACCACGATCACCGGGAACAATATAATTGAGTAAAAAAATTAATTTGTGAAAGAAATATAAATTTCTACATAACAGAAGTTTATAGTCATAGATAGTAACTGTAATACGAGTATACTAACATTCCCTCACCGTGTACAGGATTTTTCATCGCAGAGCAATCTACAATAACATGTTGAAATAACAATAAATTGTCGGTACAGTGTCAAAATCGCACCATCAAAGAACAAATATAAAATGTTTTATTCTTATTATACTTGCATAAAGATATGGTCAATAACCACTTTCCCGGATCACAGCTGGAGCACTGCCGTGTTTTCGACTTCTTTGTCGGTGATACTCCATTAGGAGTGTTCCCAACCTTTAATGTCATTATAATGGTCATAATAACATATATATGGTCATGGTCATATATTAGTTTGTGGTTTAATGTCATTTAGGTTAGGTTAGGGTTGGGGATGGGATTATCAATCATATAATCTATAATATATTCAAAGTGGGAACACTCGTAATGGAGGCGTTAGCCTGTTTGTCAGTTTGACATATAGGCCTAGTTAACACAACTGTGTACAGAATTTATAAATGTGAAAACGGGGGGAAGACTGCTACACAAGTTCATCGCACACTGCAAGAATA